CAATAAATTACTTAAATTTGCAGATGATATTAAGGTCTTGGGTGTTGCTAGCTGTGAAGAGGTTCCTGTTGATTTGCAAAAGGATTTAGATCATTTAGTGAGTTGGACAAATAAATGACAAATGGATTTTAATTACAAAAAATGCAAGATAATGCATGTGGGTTATCATAATTTGAATTATAAGTATAATTTGGATGGGAATAACCTTAATAGTGTCATGAAACAAATGGATCTTGGTGTAATAGTTGATCAGTCTCTTAAGCCATCCAAGCAGTGTGCTGTTGCTAGTGGTAGGTCGAATAGGGTTTTAGGTTATATCTACAGAAATATTGAATACAAATCTAAAGAGGTTGTAATCTCACTGTATAGGTCACTGGTTAAGCCACATTTGGAGTATTGTGTTCAATCTTGGGCTCCTTACCTTAGGAAGGACATTGAATTGTTGGAAAGGGTTCAGAGAATGGTGCCTGGGATGGAGGTGTTGTCATACGAGGGTAAGTTAAGATCTCTCAAATTGTTTTCTCTTGAAAAAAAGAAGAGTTAGACGGGATCTGATTGGGATGTTTAAGGTTGTCAAGGGAATTGATAGTGTTGATGCATCATCTTTTTTCATATTTAACAGTAAGAATTGGAGGACTAGGGGACACAAATGTAAATTTTGGCAGGTTAGGAGTCATCTTCAACTAAGACAGTTTTATTTTTCTAACAGGGTTGTTGGCCTTTGGAATGGGTTACTGTCGGATGTTGTAGACAAAGTAAATTTAAGTGAGTTTAAGAGAAAGCTTGATAAGTATATGAATGATAAGGGCTGGCTTTAAGATTTTTTTTAGTTTATTTATTAATAGTTTTAGTTTAGTTTAGAGGATGGGACAGCCAAGATGGACCAATAGGTCCCATGTTGTCTCAAAACATTATGTTATGTTAAAGGCATAGACCCACAAGCAACTTGGTGCACCATAAGTAATTTAGAAAAATAGTTTCAGTGTATTGTCCTATGTAGTAGTAAACAATATAAAAGTGAATTAAGCCTTTTTTCAAAATGGTGTACAGTGTGACATGTCAGTATATAATACTGGAAGTCTTTTTTTTTTGTTACAGTATTCTAGAAAGTACACTAACAAAAATTTAATTAACTGAAGGAAGGGTCAGTGAAAAAAGTTGTACATTATCAAAATTTTTAAGAAAAAATATATAATTCTGAATACTTGAATAAATTCCATTACATCTCTAAAAAGCTTAATTCAAGAAAAACAAGAGTTTTCATAATGTTAGAAACGTAAATATTTTTATAAACCACTGGATCTATAGTGATTAAATATTTAGAAGTTAAAAATTAGTTTTATCCAAGTTTCCATATCATAAGAATATTAAATCCAATGAATTATAACTGCAATGGTTTTCTATATATGCTAGGCAAGTATAACTGCTAGTTCCTGCGGAAGGCTATTAGGCCTGCAGCCTTTTCTGAAATTGTCTGACAGTTCTACAACAACCTACTCATACTTGACATTCAATAATGTTCACCATCCTTGAGAATAAGGATTTTAATGATATTTTAGTTAAAAAATGAGCTATTATCACAGCATTACATCACATAGTAGATTTTATTGAAGTATTTCTCTCTAGACACAGTTATCAATGAACGTGCCTCGCTTTTCTGTTGCAACACTCATGAGATATTCAATAAAGAAAAAAAAATTTTTTTTTAAGTTGTTTTGTTGCTCAGGTATAAAAATACTGCCTATTTATGAAAAATGTTACTCAGTTATGATTGGTGCGGTCATGTCCGAGATCCGATTTGTGGATGTATACAT